CATGAAGAAGAAAAAAAAAACAAGTTCAGATTCTCCAGTAATCAGAAGTAAATAGGATGTGAGCACGTTGTAGGCATGCAAAGGATACATGTGCTGGTAACATGATCAAATGTTTTGGGTGAACCTGCGTTAGGTAACTGGTTGTGTAACGTTACAATGTCTCTCAGTTGTGATATAATCTGCGCATACAACAAATACATGAACTCGTGTCTCACTCTGAACTTCAGTGGTGCCCTATTTATTCAAATACACGTTTCACCAGTTTACATTTTACTTTCCATTATGCCGACCTGATTCTTATCAGAAGATGATAGCTAATCTGTGGTGCAAATACAATTTCCTGCATCAAGTTTGTCTAATTGTTGAACTTTGAATGTGGCTTGTGCACTAAATGTAATGAAGGGTGTCAATATTAATCATGTACTTTGCCACTATACTATAAAACCAGGATCTCATTATTATGTGCATTTATATGAGCCCCCGGCATAATGCAATGCTATCACTGCCCAGAATAATGCCATGACCTAGATCTTTGGCTCCCAGCCTCATGCAGTTTTATAGGCCAGCCAAGGAGTTCCATTTAGAATTGTGAAGCAGGAGTACTTGGCAGAGACCAATACCCTCATTTGGGTGTCCACTCCACATCTTAGGACTCAATCACGCCTTGTGCAGTTTTCGACACTGCATCAATGTCAGTCAGCGCAAGGGCACTCAGAAAACTACTGTTTTCTATGTGCCATATTCACACAATGCTGGTGTGGAAGAATGCAGTTAGGCTGCATTTTTACACAGTGCACTGGAGGTCACTGCAGTCAGTACACTAGAGACCTGAATGGAGCGTAATTTGTACACTGCTAATAAAGTTTTTAAAAACTGTGCCAGGTGTTGTAATTACGCAATGCACCGAAACACACCACTGCTACCCAGTGGACACCAGGCACAAGCTAAAATGGACCACTATAGCATGCAGCTAAACACGGCTTTGCAGGAAGGCTATAAAAGGCGCTTAGTAAATATGCACCATACACATACCCTAAAGGTGCCCATACACTGCTCGATTCTCGTACGAGAATCGGGCGAAATCCCGCGAGAAAAGACACCTCCTACCCTGTACTCAGAAATACAGTTGAAAGTCAATATGGATTACTATATATTTTGCATTATGTTGCCATAAAAACACAGAACATATGAACATGGCCAGTATATTTCTAGATTACATATGGGAACATTAGGTAAAAAACAATTAAAACTCGGGAAACAGTACTTTGAATTACAGTAGCACTTCTTTTGCTGCAATCTATCCATGACAAATCCCACCAAACACTTTAAAGCTGGCCATACCCTGGTAGACTGTCTTAGGTTTCATTCACACTTGTGTTTCTGTCCTCTATATAAAAGAGGAAAATCTGTCAGGCTAAATGCTGTGTTTATGCTGCTAGATGCTTTAAATAAGATGTCCCCAACCCCCGGGCTGGTAATGGTCCAGGGCCTTCTAGGAACTGGGCCGCCGGCAGTCCAGCTCCCCATCAGGAGCTTTCACTTAGTTCCTTGTGGCCGTGCAAGTGAGAGGAGGCTGTGCCTTATGTACAGGCACCTCCACGCCGTGAGCATCCCCCTCACCCTCCCATCCAGGGACGACGATTACTGTCCAGTGCTGCTAGACACAGCACAACCTCCCATGGGACATACACCATGGACACTTCCAGGACCAGCTCATGTACATTTTCCAGTGACAGGCGTTTTGCTTACTGCGACAAAACACTCAGATGTTCAACAGGGCCATAGAAA